ATTCCGCCGAGCTTGGGAACGGTTCGGACTTTGTTGCAACTGGGGAGGGTGAGAGAGTTGCCAATTGTTGCCGAGCTCGGTGGAGAGTGCCGGCTGAGGCATGTGCAAGTGTTGGCGCCGCTGGCTGCCGTCGCAAAGCGAACATGGCAAGAGCCACATCGCCATTATAAAATCAACAAAAACAAGCGCACAACCGATTTGAGTGTTGCAGAAAGGCTGAGATCATTTGTGGCCGCCAACTTTGAAGGCTGTGTGGGTAGCTGATGGCACGAACTACCTGAAGGCAAGTGGTGAGAGAATGTCGGGTTGGCATGTTGTTATGTGCATGCTTTGGGGAGTCATGTTAAGAGTAGTGTGCGGTACGTTGTTTCCAGTTTGGATATGCCATGCATTTTTTCGAGACAGTATCGCATTTGTTTAGGGGACGCCTTTGCCATCGCACACAGTGGAGAAGGAGGCACGGAACGGAATTGGACCATTGCACTCAACAAGGCTTGGACTACCATTACCTTTGGAATCGCAGGCTTCGACCCACATCAATGAGCTGGGTGGGCGCGCCGAGTCTGCGCCATCCGCTCAGCAGCAAGTGAAGATAATGGCAGCTGCAGTCGCGATGCCAAGTTTCGAGCGTTACATTGTTGCCTGGTCTTGAAAGTGTTGCAGCCAGCTTGTTTACTCAGGTTCCTGCAGATTGAAGGCGACGAGCGAATCAAGGCCCAGGAAATGGGGCCTTTGAATGGCAGAGACATGCTGACATGCTTCAAATCCGGGCCATGCGGCGCATGGAAAGCATTGGCTCAGAGGGACGTTTCACTCGCCATGGCCGTTCCAGAGGATGCTCGTGAGCGCGCCCAGGGCGGTCGCAACGCACAGTTCAAAGCCACGCATTCCCGCGAGGCTGAGGCGACTCGTCTCCATGCAGCGCTTACAGAGCAGCAGAAGGCACCGTGTGCAAATGTACACAAGAGTCATGTTTTGAAGGGTTCAATCGATCAAGGTGGTAGGGGTGGCCTTCTTTTGAAAACGCCAACAGACGGATGAGACACACAACGCACGGGCCCCTTGGAAAATTTGAGTGTCAGTGTCTGTCCCCGCACAAGCAAAACGGCTAGAGGAATCATCAAAACAGGTAGCACCACCTGCAGACGTGGAAGGAGGAAGGATTCGTTTTCCGCTGAAGCTCGGGGAAGGGACGTGGTTGATTTACTTTGTCCAGAATTTGTTAAGCTGTTGCGTTTGCTTCGAGGAGAGCATGAAAAGGCGCAAAGAGAAGCGCGAGTTGTTTTTTTTTTTTTTCCGTCTCCCCTCTTTAACTACCGGGGAACCGCGTTTGGTTGCTATGGTCGTCTAGATTCATCCGAATATAATCGGTGCAAGTGAATCCTGTTTTGGGGTATAAAGGCAGCGCGGATTCTCCAAAAACATCCTTTTACTTTCGCGGAAGGTTCGCCAATTGCAACCCCCAACTGGAACAGTGGCCCAGCAAGCACGCGCACTTGTGGAGCCGGCTCTTGTAGAGCCGCAGCAGCGCATTGTAGTTTGATTTCGCGTGGGGTGGGTTTTGCAAGCACAAACGGTGACGAAGCGTTTGCAAGCAAATCGTGCACAGGAAATTTCTCGCGAAGGCTACCTTCGTCAATTTCCAGGAAAAAAAACGGAAGGCCCGCGAAAGCACTTCTATACAAGCGTGCTCGCTGAAGGTACCCTTAGCCACGGAACCTTCGACCAAAATTTAAAGGGAATATGAGCCACCACTCACCAGAGAGAAGGCTGCCCATTCCTCCCTGGGAGGACTCTAGGGCTACACGACTAGATGAGATGCGGCGAGTGGCCATGGAAGCGTTGCTTGGTCAGTCCCAAAACGATTTGGAGGAAGAGGTTGAGGTTGAGGACGATGATGCGCCTGACGAAGCTGACATGGAGATGAATGGTACTGGGGGTGGAAAGAGGATGCAGCGCCTGCGGCGTTTGCATCGGACTCTCTTCTTTGCAAGGCAGCTGCAGGTGCCAGATTGGATGCTGGTGCCCCCCAGCGACATGGCTGAGTCTTGGCTGGTGCTTGCGAAGCCTGAAGGCGAGAGATGTTTGCTTCTCTCCGATGGCGGCCGTGTGGAGGTGCGAAAGAAGAACGGCTACGTCTTAGAGCGGTACACGGACTCTAGGCTGCCCCGTGGCCTGACAATCCTGGATGTTGTTTCCATCGAGGGCCCAGCCAAACCAAGCGCACCTGTGGCGCCAATGGAAGAAATCGCAGCTCCCGAAGATGCTGATGAGGATGCGCTGTCCGATGACAACATGAGTACACACACCGGCTATCAGGGAGGCAAGAAGGGAGGAGGGAAGGGCCGTCGCCGCCGGCCACTGGGCAATCGGAAGTACGCGGTTTGCGATGTGCTCTTCTGGGCAGATGTCGACCTGGCGGGCACCGAGGCCGAGTGCCGGCTCTTTTGGCTAGAGTCACGCTTCGAGGAAATGCGTGACAAGGTGCCCAGGAGAGCCAGGCCGTTGCAGCTGGTGCGAGCCCTACCTGCCACCGCAGAATCGATCAAAGAGCTGTACTACAACGACCTGGGCTTTGCCAAAGACTCCCTTCTGTTCTTGCATCGGGAGGGTCGTTACCAGATGTCTGAGCCAGTGACCCCGGTGGCGCGGATGTGGCGGGACAGACACCTCAGCCGATTTGTGGTAGACACGCCCGATGAGAAGGGCCAGGATTTGCCCTCCCAGCAATCCGTGGTCCTTGAGGTCCGTGGCGGGGGCAGGCTGCGAACAGCAGATAGATCCTTACCGTTGATTGAGCAGTAACGTGTTGGCTCTTTTGTTCACTTTGAAGTTTTGCATGATTTTGAGAATTTGGATCAAATTCAGGACACCTAGTTGCCCAGTGCAAGGAGGAGGACCTTGCCAAGCTTTTGGGTGGGCAAGTCAAAGCGAAGTCGCTGGTCCGGTGTGACGTGCAGGCCATTGATGTTGCCAACACGTGCCTGCAGGTGGTTCCTGTGGGGCACGTCCCATCAAGATCGCGGGTTTGGGCAGATTCATGGGCACGCATCATGTTCCAGCACTTGCACCGGCAAGGCCAATCATCAATGTTGTCATTTGAGACGCTAATACTGCGAGCAGCCAAATGAGGCTCCCCGTTGCAACAAAATCAACGATTCAGCCAACATGCCCTGAGCATGCACTTTGGCCAGATGGCCATGACCATGAAGGTCCCCAATAGGACAGGGCCCTTCGCGGCGTGTGTGGGCATGCAGGGCCATAGTGGTCGCGAGTTTTGATTGAGGCCCCGTTGCGATCTAGACTCTGGGGAGCCTTCCGCTAGTGTGCGGGAAATGCCGATCACTGCACCCCAGATGTTGCCGGTTGTGTAGCAAGTGCATGTATTTGTGAGCCACAAAATCAGCGTCATTGTTTCTTGACTGTTGTGCAGGTTGTCAACAAGCCTTGAGCCTGGGAAACACTGCCGAAGATACGTTTTACTTCAGCAAGTTTCAGCAACAGTGCAGGAGGTGCATAGTCTGGAGGTTGGGGGGTGGAGGGCAGCAAGCAAGAGACGGCTGAAACTTAGGCCGTGGGTCAAAGCACTGGCGTCCAAAGATGGCGTTCGGAAGGCTCCTCGATCGCACCTCCACTATCCACGGCTGCTGATGTTTTTCCTTCTGTGTCCGGTCAGAATTCCCTTTTCCCGATTCCGTCTACCAAAAGTAAACATGATGACATGTTATGCACCATCAACTTCTCAGGTGCTTTCAACACACGCGCACAGACACAAACACACGTGCACACACACAGACACGGACACAGACGGACAGAGACAGAGACAGAGACAGAGACAGAGACAGAGACAGAGACAGAGACAGAGACAGAGACAGAGACAGAGACAGAGACAGAGACAGAGACAGAGACAGAGACAGAGACAGAGACAGAGACAGAGACAGAGACAGAGACAGAGACAGAGACAGAGACAGAGACAGAGACAGAGACAGACAGAGACGGACAGAGACAGACAGATAACAGGACACAGACAGACACAGACACAGACTCACAGACACACAAACACAACACAAAACGCTCAAGGTTTACAGCGCCGTTGTGCAGGTGCAGATCATGGCCCACGAAGTGGTGGGCCTCAAGGCAGAGGTCGCTTACGAATTTTCCGCCCTGAGCTGAGGCTGATCCCAAAAGTCCGGTAGGGTGTGTCTTCTGAAGCTCTTGTTGAGGTTTTAAACCCACATTTACCCAGTTTGATCATATCTTCACTGTTCCTGGCATAGTGCTTTGTTTTTGGTTCTTTGAGCACTCTTCATTTATGGAGGGTTGCACGGAACATAGTAATTGTAAACGCTGCGCGGTGCCTGCCTCGGCCAAGCCGAGCGCGCAGCGCCTGTGCCTGTGGTTCGACTGCAAGCAGCAGAGCTGGTCAAGTGGCGATTCAGGCATGGACAGGTTCTGGCGTCGTAGGACCCATTGGCCCGCAGGAATCCCCGAGGCAAGGGCAAGGCGATGCACAGGACAGGGCCAGCCCAGCCGAGCTGGGCTGGGCCTTGCTTGGGTTGAGTCTCAGGCACTGGGCTGGACCCGAGACTAGTCTCAGACATGTGAGTGTGCCAGGTTGAGTTGCTTGAGTGGGTTGCTGGGTGCGTGGGTGGGTTGCTGGTTGGGGGTCTCAAATTAGGCAGCCGGACTTGGGCTGCCGCGGGCGGGCTGGGCTGGGCCTTGCTGGTTGGGCTGGGCTGTGAGGCTAGTGTGCGGCAGGACACCGACGAACCCCGAAAATTTCAAGGCCCGCCAGACAAAATCTTAGGGCCAGCAGACATGGGTGAGGGGGTGGGGGTGCGGGGCGGGTGGGCCGCAATCTGAGGGACCGGCCTGCAGCACTCAGGTCCAAGCGCTGACCAAGGGCGGTTGGTGGGAGCCTCGGGTCGGAGCCGAACGAGAAATCCCAGCATCCGCCAACACCTACTCTCGGGTCGCTGGCACGTTGTCAAGGACGGAATGGAGTGCACCGGGCACGATTCAGATGCCCCGCATTGGCTACGAGCCTGAGCAGCTTGTCAGTGCCGAACTCAGACTAGGTGGCTTTGCCTGCCAGACATGATGCAACATGATGCCCTGCATTCTGCAAATTTGCTTCTTGTTCGCTCAGCCTTGGTGCCAGGCGAGCGCAAAGCGAACGCTTTGTACCGAGCCGACTTGCTGCCCCAGGCAGGGTTTTGAAGTAGACTGGCAATGATCTGGGAGAGACATGGGGCAATGGGGCTCTTGTGGCTCATGTCATTTCCCCGGAACATGTTTGTTGTTTTTCATTTTGACTGGCTGACACCCTGCGAGGCCCTCTACAAAGAGTACGAGCGGCCAGAGCCTCAGTCCTTCTTGGCTGCACGTGCACGCGCTTAAGACTTGGGAGCCAATGGTTGTGCAGCTGCGTGTTGTTTCCGCGCCCTTGGCCAGTTTGCTGCTATGTGTGTGCTTCGCATTGTGCCATGAAGCTTGGAAGTACAAACGCCAAGGTGCTGGGACTCGGTCGAAGAATGTCTTCAAGGTGACCGGCTTGATCGAATTCAGCAAGTATTGCACGGCAAGAAGGACTGCGCCAGCTACCGCGACTTGCATTTTTGTTGAGCGCACTTCATCCTCCACTTGCTGCATGTGCCCCATTGTGCCCATGACATGAGGAGTTTGACATGTTAGCCGCAGGAATTGGCGGAGGAGTTTGACCATGAGCTCTCCAGATGGCTGGTGGACATGGAGGGGCCTATTCGAGAAAGCAGCCGCATGCTCGAGGCCGATTTTGCATTTGCGAGTTCGATGTGATTGGATCCCTGAGCTTGGTTGCTGGTTCAAAGCGCGGCCCTTGTTGACCTCAGTCTTGGACCCCAAAGCCAAGAAAACAGTGTCCGGGGTTCACGTGGCAAAGCAGTCTCAAACACATTGGTTTACCTGGTGAGCTCACCCGGGGTGATTCAGGCTGTGTTTTTGGGTGTTTAACAAAAGATAACAAAAGCCCTCTTGTTATTTAGGCGTTGGGGATATTGGAAGGTTTGCTGTGCCACGTCATCCGCCACTGTGCAACACAATGTGGTGGGAGCGCTCCTGTGAGGTGGAAGCGCGCCTTTTGCTGCGGGACCTTGTGAGTCGCAAGGCCTCGTTTTGCAGCACCCATTTCTGGATGGGGCATCATCAAGTGCCCGTGGCCAGGCAAATGTGAACTACCGAGATCAAGCAACTGGCCGCGTACCGCTGACCTATGTTAGAGCCCCGGTGCCATTTGGTTTGCCCATGGCAGTGGGGTCGGCATGATGGGCTGCCGCTTCATCTCATGGTCTAAGGCGTGCGAGTATGGCTGGAAAGTGCGGCCAGGTGTTATAGAGGCCACGCCCAGACCAAACACTGAGAGGCTGTCTTGAACACATTGCGCCATCTCTCTTTTGACAGCTGGTAGGAGCCCACGGATATGAAGTAACATGCTATCTTTGTCAAACATTTACGATTGATACCAGGCCAAGCAGAAGAAACATTAGGTGAACCAGAGTGGTGCTCGGCACAGGAACTGCTGAAGTTACGAGCGGACGTGGACTCTATGAATGACTTTTGGCGGCAAGGATGACCGACCCACGACTCCCAAGTTGAGATGAGTATTGTCCCCATAGCTTAATGGGAGAGGCTGCATGTTAAAAAACTATCACGCGTTTGACCCGCGAGTCAGTCCCATGAGTCCAGGACCAATGTGTTCTTGATCAAAGCGATGCAGGTAATCCCGTACCATGCTCACCCCAAGGATGCAAAGCACACAGCGCTGGGAATCGCAGCAGCTGGTGGCCATTCCTCCATCGCCAGAGCCCAAAGTGAGAAGCAAGGTATGAAGCCTATGATTACTCGTGGCGCATTTCTGGTGCCACTACTCTGTCATACATTGCAGCTTGGAGCAGTGTCGAGGTGGAAATCCTCCTTGCGCATGGGGTTGATGCCACGATCGTGAGCATGCAGGCGCAACCGTAGAACCAAAGAACATCATTAGAACATATTAGAACAAATGTAGACTAGCAAAGTGTCCGGCCAGGGGGAGACTGCGCTGCTGCGAGCACGCACTGGGCGGAATGCTGCCAGAGGCGTGGCAACTCCAGGTTTGCTCCGCAGGCCTTTCAGCCAAGAAGCCTTGATCGGCATGAAGCAAAGTCGTGAGAACTGGTATGAGAGAGACTCACCGTATTTCTTGCTGGAGGCTTGACGCATGCGCAGATCAAGGGCGTCACTCGTTGCAGGCTTTTGGGCCTGGGGGCGGATGCTTGAAGCTCGTGTCAGGTAGTTTTATCCATGTGGTTGCCACTGCCGTTCTTCCTGGTCACCTTGATCCAATGTGTTTTGTGCCAGTTTCATTCCACGGAAAGCTGCCATGCTTTCTTGGAGTGGTTTTGGTTGGCCACTGTTGATTGAGTTGAGCCAGCCAGCAATGGGTCGCAACAAATCACGGGAAATGCACGGCAGAGAGAGAGGAAAAATGTCAACTCGGAGCCGGCCAAGGTCAAGCCAATGTCTTGAGACGCATGCAGGAACTTAGGCAAGACTGATCTAAGCTTGGAAGGTTTCCTGCCCGGTGATCCTCTTGGCTTCCGAGGAAAAGCTTTGACCTATCAGAGGGCACACTTAAATGCACGTGATAGACTGCCAAGGCAGGCAAGCACCCGTTCCTTGTTCCTTCTCTCGCAACACAATGCATTCACAAGCCAATATCATTTTGAGAGTTTGAGCGGGTGTCTTTGAACCGTGAACAAAAGCTGTGCCATTTGAAAGATTGCCTTTTGCAGGTTGTGTTTCTTGCTCTAAATCACTTTGTTCTTTGAGCCTCTTGTTGTACTTGTGGCAGATGTTCGCTGGCACATGTCTTTGCAAGCTAGGCCTGTGCCAGCAGAAAGCTCTTCCAAAATTCCTACAGAACACCGCCACTCTTTTTGTCAGGCTCTGATGTCACTCTTCTGTCATGAGGTAGCGGCCATGGCCGTGTTTTTCCCTGCGTGTGCTTAGCCCATTCGCAGGGCGGCCTGCATGACAAAGTGAGAAATCCATGCTTCCTCATCTCATCACACGAGCAACACCCAAGACCTCCTTACACGATTAGATTAGAACGAGTTGCGCAAGCCAAACCTCCACACGCGTAAGGTGGCGTAAGCAGTTGGCGCAAGCAAAGTCTCCAAAAGTGCTGCATAAGCCAAAACAGGCGTTGCATAGGAATGCGCAAGCGGGGGCGTGAGCAACCCGATGCCGCATGGCTCACAATTCGCATGCCGTTCCCAAAATGCAGCCTGCTCAGAGGTCTGTTAGGGACAATTGATTTGTGCACAAAGATGTACACAGACCAGGCAAGATAAAATGTACAATGCTTACGTAGAATAAATAGTGCAGACGAGCAAGAGTTGCATCTACAATGCAGCAGCCGCGTGCACAAAAAAAATCATGGAGAAGCAACTTTGCTGGTATGTATGGATTTTGTAGGTGTCGACATGAAGGGTCTTAAGGCCCCCCCCCCAAAGAAAAAGGAAGGGGGTCAGCAGATACTCATGTAGGGTTGTGGGGGTTTGTTGAAAGCCAGGGCTGCATGGCCAAGCGGCGCAGGCAGCTCCTTTGCGAAAATCGTCTTCCCTGGGATCGCTTCGAATCCGCAGTGGCGAGTTTGGCGGATGACCCGCCAGCGGCAGCTCGCGCCTTCCTGGAGCGGGCATAGGGGGGAGATCCTGGACACCAGAGCAGAACGAAAAAACTCCATCACCCCGGCCCGTTGTTTCGGGATCCTATGAACATGACACTAAAGGGAGAAGGACCTTCCCTCCGAAACTATGTGAGAAGAGATCATGCCAAGGAAGTCACTGCCAGACTAGTTTTGCTAGTTGCCAGTTGCGGCTGAAATGCTTGGCGGCTCCCAAAAGGTGACCACGAGAAAAGGAAGGGTGTTGCATATTCCATGATAACCACCGATTGCCAACCAGTGCCAATTTAAAGCTTAGGGTGTTCAGCAGGAGGAGCTAGCCTAGGGGTCTTGAAAAGGAGAAAAGTGCTTTTTCTCCCGAGTTGGACATTCAACAGACGGTTCAGCTGCACCATCGCATTTACACATTGTAAACATATTCTTTGAAGGGCAGATGGGACTACGCTGACGCGCTTTCCAGGAGCTGGCGTTTCCAACTGGGCAGGGAGCTCAGCATGCTCTTGAGGTGACCGCCGAGTGAGGTAAAAGGCGCAGTCCACGGTCAGCAAGCTGCTGAGGCCTGCAACGATGTTTGTTGCCGACAAAGAGGGCAAGAGGATCTCCCGGCATGATCGGCTGCGATTGTATGAGTTGCTGCCTCAGATCCGTGGTTGATAATTTTGGGTGACCACGTGGTAGATTGCAGAAGTGAGCTGCTTGCTCCTGGGTTGGGGCATGCAATGGCTGGACTGCCCTCAGGCAAATACTGGAAGTGCGAGAGGTGGAGGGCACTGGATGGGAAGAGGCGTGACTGGCCTGACCGTTGGATATGTCACCTGTCACAGAGCTGAACTGCCTTGTGGTACTGTGGAACCCTCAGGCTGAACGTCGTGGGCGGCTTTGTGCGAGCCTCACAGAGTTTGATTTTAGGAAGGTTGACTGGTTGATCTTAGGATGAAAAAGGCCGACGCATGTTCTTGACAGCAGACATGCAAAGCAAGTGCGCATGACTTGGCAGGTCATGACTAGCGAGGATTTAAGGTTTAGGTGTCCACGCTTGTTTGTTTGCTAAGGTGCGCACAAGTTGTTGCTTCCGCAAGTCCGCGCTGCCAGTCTGCAGTACGGGGTCCCAGCGGATTAGAAGACCTGGATGAGTTCGGCATAGGCATTGCAGTTTGAAGAGGCAGACAGCTGCCCACAAATGGTTTCGAAGCAAAATGCTGTTGGCTTTGCAAAGGAAAGTGTTGTTCGATGCAGTGCCAACAATATGCAGCCACAGCATTGCTCGTCACTTTCGTCAAGCGATGGCCTGGCTCTGACAAATGATATGTTCATGGCTCACGCAGTTTGTGTGATGAGCGAGGGGCCTTGATAGAGGCAAAGGTGCCGTTGCAACGTGCCAACAGCTGCTTGTATGCAGGCAGCCGCCGAACAAGGAGTCAACGCCTCAGGTCTAGGTAGCGAGTCAGATGATACGATGGCTCCAGGCGTCTTGGTGCGGGGTTGTGCGGGGTCCTTCTCGGCTTGACATCTACGTTTAATATAATATGCTATATTCGGCCCATCGAAAACTGCAACTTGTTTAGGCTTGTGCTGGATCAGGTGCAACTTCCTTGCACGTTACTTGCTGCACAGCGGCATCATGAGCTGGTGCGTGCAAGAGGCTTGTTGCATTGGGGCGGATAGTTTGAATGCAGCACATGCTTGTGGGTTGCTTGCAGGTTTTGAGCATGAAGCGTGAGTGCGGATCATCAACGGATTTCGGAGTCTGACCTGGTTCGAATAGGCTTGGCTCAAAGACGGCGGCTTTGCTTGGCCATGAAATCATGTGTGCCGATGAGGCTTATGATGCGTTGCTGCTGGTTGCTTTTGCAGTGGTAGTGGCACTCTTGGGGCTCTTGGCTGGACGGAGGTGGAGAGCCAAGCCACTTCGAGCCGTCCAAAAAGCTGTTGAGGTGAAGCCTTGTCACCAGGAGGAGGTGGTCATCCGACAGTTGCGGACCCACTTCGAGAGGAGCAGGGAGGAGCCTCCGGACCACCTCCTCCCGCAGCTCGCTTGGTCCCGATCCCTGGATGTGGCAGCCGCCATTGATTTGTGGCATCGCCATGTGGCAGCCACCAGGCACCTCAGAATCCAAGACGTCAGTGACGAAGCAGTCCGCAAGGCCTACGATGCAGGTTTCTGCGTTCGCTCGGGCTTTGATGTAGATGGGCGGCCCATGATTTGGGTACGTATGGCCCTGTCAGTGCCGTCAACAATGACTGCATCACTGGTAGTGAAGAACACGTGGATGGCTCAGGATGCAACCTTGGCAGGCGGTATCGAATGCAGCAGGAAAGGTATTTGTTTCGTCTATGATTTGAAGGGCGTCGGATTAAAGAATGTGACCTTCGATCCTCTCAGTTTGCGTGCTGCTATTTGGGGAGCGCTATGCCACCCATCCCACATTTCCAGAGTTTGGTTCCTGGATGCGCCTAAGATTTTCCTGCTCACCTGGCAGGCATTCAAGCATTTTGTGCCCAAGGACATTCGTTCCCTGGTGCGTTTTGCAAATACGGGGCGCCGTGACAGCCCGCTTTGCTTCAGTGAAATATGCCCATCCAGCCAGTTGCCAGCCTACTTGGGTGGGATGCGCTTCTCCCAACCCTTTTGTAACTGGATGTTCGCGCAACTGCAGGGCCAGAAATTTGCGTATCGTTCTCCGCAGCTGCATTTGCCGGTGCCAATGCGCCGCTCAAGCAGCGGAAGCAGAAGCAGCAGCTGCTTGGTCGGCTTGCGCAGGCTGTCCATATGCGTGTGCAACCCATGAGGGGATGCATGGTGGCGCCACATGTGCGCCGGCAGTGCGGCCTTTTGAGATCTTGTGAGGCTGTGAAGGGCCTACATGAGCTTTGCACAGCTGTAGGTGATGTAAAGTGCTCTGGCTTTGCAAACGCATTGCCATGCGTGTGTCGCAGCTTTCCTTGCCCAAGGAACCGGCAATTTTCTGCAGCCTTGCAAAAGTTGACTGCGCTTGCTTGAGATCAACGATTCCCAGCGAGTTCATCTTGAAGCGCCCGACGCGCGCAGGCCAAGGAGCTGGCGGCAGAGATCTTGGCGCATTACGACAGGGCGCCAGACTGAGAGAGGATTAGATTAGGGGCTCATGAGACGTGCTGAGAAGGCTCTAGGCGTGTTTTGGCGACTGCAAGAGGCAAACAGGGTAAAGCGGCATTTGGATGCGGACACAGTCGCAAGGCAAGAAATGCCTCTGAGAGGTTGCACTGGGGCTTCTCAACAGCATCCCCTGCGTAGTCATTGAAATTTCGATTAGCGGGTACTTGGAGAATCAAGTGTAGTGGTAACCATTGCTATGATTCTGCAAGCCTTTGCTTCTTGAATTTCAGTGAGAAACCAATGCAGGCCACTGCATCCAATACTTGGCTCGCTAGGAACTGCAGACCAGGAGGATGGAGCTCAAGAAGCTGCCACGGCTCACCCCAGAGGCTTACAAGAGTGGGTAGGGCCATCCAATTTGGTGGTTCTGAATCCGACAGCAAACCATTCAAAACTTGAATGGAGATGAGCCCGCGATGTCAATCACGGATCCCGACGCAGCACACCAGTGTTTGTTGTCGGTTTCCCTTTTTTGAATGTTGTTTTGCTAGATAAAGTGGGCATTTTCAAACGGATCTGAAACTGATGCTTGCACAAAAGAGGGTTTGAGATGGCTGGTTGAGTGCGATGGACAAATCACAATTCCCTGTTCTGAGGGCTAGCTGTGCAGGCTGAGATTCTCCTGGGCAGCAGGCCTAAATTTGCAGGCCGTTCCCTTCATCAATGGCTGGATGCTAAGCCTTGTGTGCGAGACCAGCGTGTGGGAACGCCACTAGCCTAGGCACGCGCATGATGATTTGCCTTGGCTCACGCAGCAGAACGTGGTGGGGACTTTCGAGGCCAAACTACATCAGAATCGCAATGCGTTGTGCATTGTGAACCAGAGATGTCGATTTGACTCAGGGTTGCTGTGGGAATTCGAGTCGATCAATGAGCTTGTGTCTATTTGATCTCAGGCCTTGGTGCACTCCGGTGCGGTAGTGAGCATGGAGGACTGTACGCGCTCTGACTGACAATCTGACAGCAGCATGAGTTGCATTCAGTGCCGTGGATTTTTGTACACGTGGGCAAGGGTCCAATCTTAGGACAAACCTTTTCCAATATTTGACTCTTGACAATACCAACTAAGTTCCCTGAAAGGGTAGTGTGCAAGCACGGGCCGCACAGTAATTCGACCAGCTGCTTCGTGCTTGAAGCCTTGCTGCCACGCTGCCGGCCGCAGATTTTGCTCTTTGGCAACTCACATTTTTCCCGCGTCGCAACTTTGCACTCATGGCAGCTCGTAGCCGTGCTGCGCGCGGTTCTCAGTGTCACTCTCTGGTGTTATTCCGTTTTTGTTGGGGGGGGGACGCCATTGGACTCTTCATACTGTTCTAGGACAGCCTGCCAGTTGCAGACCCTGGGCTGATTTGGGCACATTCCCCGTAGTGAATGTTTGGCAGACGACTTTGGCACATTGATGATTTCGCTAGTAAGACAGTCATCGCTTGTTGTGGAATCTGACAGGCAGCTGCTCGCTGCAGTAGCTGCTGTCGTGACGTTGAGGAGCATTGCCGCCAGGCGCGTGGAGTTTGCTGCTTGGGATGGCAAAGGGGCGCTTGTGTGGCTTAGGTTTTCCTCGCCGGGCAGCGGAAGTGACACATCCTTCAGCATCTTGACATAAATTTTCAGGTGAAGTCACGATCATCGCTGTTTGAAGGGGCATGCTGTTCTGAACGGCGGTACAGCCGGAAACTGGAGTCTGGGATCGTTGAATATTATCGAGGCTTGCCTCGTCCATGAACAGAGGCTAGTTGGCAGGCTGCTAAATAGTTCATAGACGCACGGCCAACAGAAGCAGTCATCCTAGCAGCCGCTTAGCAAGACCCAATACTCATCGCACAATGAGCATGAAACATGCCTGGGGCTTGTCATCCCGCAATTTGGCTGTCATGTCAGTGGCTCCCACAGCAGCCACTTCTGTGAGTGAGTAACTCAGGCTTGCCACAGGCACAGCGCGCAATGCTTGCCGGGGTCGCAGCATCCATGGTCGCTTCCTCCCCGGTCCTCGCAGAGGAGCGGTGCTCATAATGGCCACGGGCCAGGTCTCTTTCTTTTACATTGGGCTACCTGCTTGCTGGATGCACTGTCTTTACTCAATGGGTAGGTTCCAAAGCATGAAACATGGCCGTTCCCCTTCGCGCTCCAGCAAGCTCGATGGAGCAGCACAGGCGGACAAAAAACACAAGGGTGTGCCAGTGTGCCTTGCAAACAGATGAGCAAAGTTGTAGTCAGCAGGTTGGCCAGATTTGGCCAGTGGCAGTTGGCAGGGACCAGTGTCGCAACATGTCGCAAGTAGCTCATGTGACGCATATGTCTCAAGGAGATGGACAGCATCAAGGACCTGGAGTCCAAGCTGGCGCTACGGGACGCAGGCATCACCCAGCTCCAGAAGGAGAAGCTGCGGCCTCAGATGAAGATCGCGGAGGCGGGGGACACCTCGAAGTCGCCATGGGTGGAGATGGCGCGAGCAGAAAATTCCGCAACATCTCGGAACAGATTGGGCTTTCGTTGATTGGTTTCGGAGCTCTGCCTCGTTTCCCAAGCCGTTGGCAGAGGGGTCTTTGGTTAGCCGATGGCTGTGCTTGTGTTTTTTTGCAGGTGGAGCGGCTGGAGCGCGAGGAAATTCAAACCGCGCGCAGCGCAGAGCTTCTGAAGGCTGGGGAAACGAGGGCCCTGGACCCCGAAGGCCTTGCCTGCAAGTGGGCGCCAGGAACGGCAGATCAGTGCGGAAGAGCAGAAGGCCAAGGACAAGGCCAAGGAGCTGGAGAAGAGGGAGAAGGTCGGATGGCCGTAGGGGCAATCGCACATGTTGCACCAATGAACCCATGCACGGCTTGGCGCATGCAGGCTCAGATTGAGAAGGAGGAAAAAGAGACCAAGGCGAAGATCCAGAAGGAGCTGGAGGCTGAGAAGGCCAAGATCCAGAAGCAGGAGAAGCAGGCGGTGGACGAGGCGCGTCAGGCGGAGCGCGAGGAGAAGAAGGCCGCGCGGGACGCGGAGAAGTTGGCGCTGAAGTCCAAGTCGGACACCGACCGCCTGGCCGCGGAGGAGCGGAGCGAGGCGGCCTTCAACGCGGCCACGGAGAAGGCGGAGAACGCCATCCTCGCCGCTGAGAAGAGCTCAGAGGAGCAACTGGAGAAGGCCTTCGAAAAGGCAGGTCTCTGTTTTTTCTTACGCATCTCTCTTCTTTAAGAGTGGGGTCTTCACCGGGTTTCCAGAATGTACCCCACAAGGCAATGATTCGCGGGGGCATGAGTTCTTCCGAATTCTGTGATGTCAGGCGGAGAATGCAAGGCAGGCGGCGGCCGAGCGGGCAGAGATGCTGGAGAAGGCGGCGGTGGACAAGCTGGAAGTCGCGCTCAGCCAGGCCAGCGAGATTGCGGAGAAGGCGGAGAAGGAGGCTGTGCAAGAGGAGGAAAAGTTGGAGCAGCAGGTTGTGCAGACGGTTGATGAGATCGAAAAGGAGGAGTATCTTGAAGAGAATGAATATTTGGAGAAGGCCAAAGAGGCTTTGACCACTGTGTGGTCGGTTGCAGGCCCTCTAGTGATTCCAGGTGTATTCTTGGCCCTCTATGCTGTCCTGGCCAGCTTCGTAGCGCCAAAGCCAGCACCTTGCCTGGGCAGCGAGTCGGAAGAGGTGCGCAACCTGATGGGGAGAGCTGCGCGCCCCAAGAAGTCGAGGGCAAACATTGACCCGTGGACTCGCGAGGACAAGGTCGCCGTGGGAGCCGGGGCTGCCGGCGCCTTCTTCTTGGCTATCATGTCATCTTCTGGTCCCAGCATGGGTTTCGTGAGCACCTCTCCCGCCACCTCTCGCGGAGTGCGATCGCACGCGTCTCTGCAAGCGCAGCCTGTGCAGAGCCGCGTCACCGCCACCACCAACCGACCCACGGCCCTTGTGCAGGGTGCAGTGGTCCTTGCGGTGGCAGCAGCAGCCGGCCGCAGAAGGGCCGCACGACAACTCCAACGCGCTGCCAACATCGTGTGCAACGCCACGAAGTCCACGGAGATCTCTGGAGCCAACCCTTTGCACGTGATCATCTCCGGCGCGGGAGTTGGTGGCCTTCTTTTGGCCAAGGCCTTGAGTAAGGAGCCCACCATCAAGGTGTCACTTTTGGAGCAGGCGAGCTCTTTCCAGCGCTTCGGTGGGCCCATCCAGCTTGCCTCAAACGCATTGTCCACCATCCGGGACATCGATGAGGAGATGTTTGACGGGTTGATGAAGAAGTTCACTTTCACAGGATACCGGAGGAATGGCTTGGTGGATGCTTTGCGCTCAGAGTGGTATTGCACCTTTGATGCCATGAAGGATGCGGCCGACTTGTTTGACCTTCCCTACACAGGAGTGGTTGACCGCCCAGACCTGCAGGAGCTGATGCTGGGTGCACTGCCCAAGGGCGTCCTGACAAACTCCATGAAGGTGACCAGCTACGAGGTCCTGCCCAATTACGGCGGGGTTAAGGTGCAAACTGAGGACGGCAAGGAGTACAAGGGCGACGTGCTCATCGGTGCTGACGGCATTTGGTCAGCCACCAGGGCACAGATGTGGAACGAGGCACAGAAGGGGCCAGGTTCAGGATGCACCTACAGTGGGTACATCGTCTTCGCCGGCGAGACCATCTACCAGCCTGAGGATTACTTTGAGGTGGGCTACAAGGTCTACATGGGCCCAAAACGATACTTTGTGACTTCAGACGTTGGCCGCGGCCGCATCCAGTGGTATGCATTTGTCGCGGTCGCAGAGGGTGAAGAGGTGCCATCCGACCCCTTGGAGAAGCGCGAGTACGTGAGGGCAGCCTTCCAGGGCTGGTCATCTCAGATTTCCGACCTCTTGGATGCAACCCCGGTGACCAGCGTGGAGGATCGTTCCCTTTACGACCGGCCCCCGAGCCTCTTGAAGTCCTGGGCCGACGGGCCCGTAGCGTTGCTGGGGGATGCCTGCCACGCAATGATGCCCAACCTGGGTCAGGGAGGAGGCCAGGCCATGGAGGATGCCCACTGCATCTGGCAGAAGTTGAAGGACTGCACTGACCGAACTCAGGTCCCAGATGCCTTGCAGGACTACTACCGCAGCCGCATTGTGCGAGCCTCTGCTGTGCAGGGCCTGTCCCGTTTGGCTTCCGACATCCTGCTGGGAACCTTCACCTTCCCCTGGAAAGCAGAGGAGGGCTTTTCGCAGCCCTTTGGCAAGGGTCGAGGCGACTTTACCTACGAGGCCGTTGTGGTGAACTACCTGAGACACATCCTGCCTGGAGCCTTCACGGGTCAGTTCACCTTCCTCTACTCCTTCCATCCCTTCAAGTGGACCAAAGAGGAGACGAAGGAGCTGGTGGAAAAAGTGATGGACCGTCACAAGCTGGAAGCACATGATGCTTGGCAGCGCCGAAAGGAGGCCGTAGAGAAGGGAGAGGCTGGAGCTGAACAGGTTTGCATGGTTCATCTTTGGCGCTCCCCCATGTTTTGAATCAAACACTCGTTCTGCATTTTCTGCTCATGCCACTGGCAGCCAACAGGTTGAGAAGTTTGAGGAGGAATGCCGGCAAGAGTCCTTCTTCCAGACCCTTAGCTGCACACGCTTGATTTAAACAAGACCTCCACACTACCTGTGGGCTCAAATACGCGGTAGCTTTCTCACCAAGGCTTGCGGCTCAAGTGGGAGCTGGGATCAAGTGAGCGAGCAATGCATGGCAGTCACACAGTGACATCCAACATTTTCAATAATTCAAGGGGGATCCTCGAGCAGTGTTGCATGAGAGCTCCATAAATTCTCCATTTCTTGCCGGCCTTTGGGCAGGCAACCGACTTGTGAATACTTTATGCCTTTTGTGGCTGGATGTTGCCAACGGCATCATCCACGTGAATGGGGCTCCCCGCAAGTGTTTCGGTGCTTGGGGTCTTAGTCGCTTCAGAGAATTTCATGCACTGGTAGGGATCCGTCCATTCGCACTCTTTACATTTCTTTACCTGAGCATCCAGGAACACCTGCCTGCATGGCTTGGGCAACAGTCCAAGGAAGAGGAGGCATTTGCTTGAGGCTGCCTAGCGGCGTCTGCTTTGTTTGGAGGAGGCTTTCCTAGGTGCGAGGCATGATGAGATCTAGCTGTCGTCAGATCAAGACCTCCTGCTTTGCCTTTGTATTTCCTGCTCTTTAGGTGCCTTCGGCTGGCAGTGGCAGTTCGCACAAGTTTGCGTGCAGCGCAGTGCCGATCGTTGCATCAAGCTCCGAAATGGAGCAAACAGCTTTTTTCCCTCTGGCGCGCTTGAAAGATGTGCCGCAAGTTGCTTTGGAGAGAGGGGGGGCTTCATGCTTGCTTGCTTCTTTTGTCAATGTTGCTTTGCGACGAGGATTTCTGCAGCTGGGTTGGCGAACTCAATGCACAGTTGGGCTCTTGAGATATGTCAAAGGGTTGGCGCCAGTGCAGCTACGGAAATTGCGATTGCGGAAAAGCTTTTGATGGATAGTGTAGTGCAGCTAAGGATTTGTGCAAGCGATGGCTTGAACTCTCCTGTGCAGCCTGCCGCCTCAGAATGGACACGCCGGCAGTGAAGCATCTAAGTGGGTGTCATAGAGTCAGTGTCACTCATCAAATTAGCGAAGCTTGTAAAGGCAGGATGCATGCAAGTGCCTTGAATTTATCAATCGTCCAAGTCAATTGCATTCTTTGTCACCAGGCCTGGCATGCGCACCCACTCACCACCCGGGTTTTGTTGAAGCAGCGTGCGAGCGATCAGGTTGGGCGCCTGGGACAAGAGACTGCCTCTATACTTCTGGGGCAGCCCCTTGGCCAAAATGAACTGAAAGATGCAGCAGCTGTCCCGACGCAGCATGTACACAATTCCGGCCAAGCTGCGTGCACCAAGGTGCTTACACCAAGTTCCTGATGGGAGAGGCCTTCTGAATGTTTGACCTTTTGGTTTCTACAATCGCCCTCAGGCGCAGCGAGCTGCGGTTATTTTCCACAAGATTGCCGGCGATTTGGCTCGCCGCGTGGGCAAGGTGGGCATATATGTGGTCATGCCCAAGATGCAATGAACCTATTGGCTGCTTTCACCCACGCAATCTGCAGGTGGAATACCGTGACGCTCCGAACAAGCAGCCCTTCCGGGTGCTAAAGAAGCAGCACCTTGATCTGATAGGGTGGAGTATTTTGCAACCTTTGCCTGCACAGCGTTTGTCAGCTCATGATGAAATGAACCGCATGGTCCCAGGTTTGACTATGCCTCGACCGGACTCGCCCTGCTTCATGAGGTGCGGGAATGCGGAACTGACATTCAAACATGTTAAATCAGTGGTCAGCGCGTGATGATTGCCTGATGTTGCTTCAATAGGGTCACCTCTGCAAAGCCAATAATTTCCCTCTTGCTTGTGACAATTTTAAGAAGGCGATCGCGGATTGCTGCTGGATCACTATCTCCACAGCTAGCAGGGAGCTGTAACGGCTGTGAGCTCAAAATTGACGATGGCAGGCCCTCGACCTCATGAAGGGAAAGTTCAGGAGCCACAATGAGATCCAACAATGGTGCAGTCACTGCAGCGCACGGCCTGTTGCACGAGTGTGGCAATTCGGTCCTTGGCTTGGACTGTGTGGCTCAAGCTGAGAGCGCCCTCGGCCTTCCCGGCTCATGGCTTTCAAGGCCAAGCTGCGGCTTCCGGCGCTCCTGGGCCTTCTGACCTTGAGCAGCTTGGGGTTTTTGGGCGGCGTGGTGCGTGAGACCCCGGACTTCGGCGAGAAGCGAAAGGTCGCGGCGGACCGCCTGGTGGCGGCGCGGCAGGCGCTGGAGGAAGCCCAGGAGCTGCAAGCGGAGGGCATTGAAGGCGTGGGGGTCTGGTACCGCGTGGTCACCGAGGGCGAGGATGGCATCGGCATCCGCAAGGCGCCCCGCCTGGACGCGCCGAGGCTGGAGGACTTGGTGCGGGGCAGCGTCTTTGAGGTGGACGAGGTGCGCACCGCCGAGGGCGATCCCATTTGGCTCCGATTGAAGGATGGGAGGGGATGGCTTTTTGACTTGACTCCAGTAGATCCAGATACGCCGACTGTTGAGAGGGTAGAGGGCGTCTATAAAGGCGGCAAGACGCTAGCAGAACTTGAAGCAGACGTCCAGGCCGCGAGACAGAACCTGGATCGAATCAGAGGAGCCAAGCTCAATCCCTGAAGCGCAGGGGTCTGAAGATGTCGTAGTTCTTTTTAATGATTTCGTGGCATGATGCTTGGTGCAACAGCACTTGCCAGCACCAGAAGCACTTCCTGCACAGCTCGGCAAAGCAAACGCTCCTTGTTGAGCGCCAGCCAGGCCGATCAGCAATTCGTGCAAGCTGTGTAACGTTGATCGCGGCTATTTCGCGCTTCAGCGAAACCGCCAAAACATACTCATGCCCGTCATGTCAGAGTTCAAAGGAGCAGTTTGACTTTGCGGGTGGCTTTCATGGCCCTGCCCAGATGCAGTATGATAGGAGAGCCTTCCGCGCCGACTTGCCTGGCCTCTCGACTTTTGAGGACAGACTCCCTGAGTGAGAGAGGGGGAGGGAGAGAAGCATGTGATACATTTTGGCAGTTGGGATGTTGTACGCCTGAGGACGTCACCGATGCCGATGCCGAAGGCGAAGGCCCGTCCTTCCGCCTATTGATCCAAAGCCACTGTTCTGGAGTTCCTGCTCTCCTTTGGTTTTGGCCGTTTATGGCCGAAATTGCCTGGAGACAACCACTGGGCGCCTCTGTAAGACCAGCAGCTAAGCCACAACACATTTGGGGAGTAAGTGGAGGATGCTTCGGCACGCCTGCGACCAGAAGCCGAAGAGCTTCACCCTTGCAAACCCTTGAGTTTGCCGCCTTCTTTTCCTATCTGGTTTTGGTTGTGTTGCAACTGGTATTGAATGACAGACATTGCAGCCAAAGGACACGAAAGGATTGAGTTGCATCAAGTTGGCGGAAAAGAGATGAGCATGCATATCCCAAAATAAAGGGCCGTTAGGAGCACTGCGGGCAGATCTTGCAGCTGCAAGATTGCAGGTGTGGACCTGGTGTTGGCTCGCCTTGGCCAGCTGCGATTGGCTGTGGAGGCATGGGCCGTGTGGGGCAAAGGCTTGTCATAGATTCAGTGGAGTGTACCTCGATACGATTGTACTTGATGACACGTGCACGTTTGTGTGTGTGTGTGTGCGCGTGCGTGCGAGCGCGCGTGCAAGCATGCGTGCGTGCGTGCGCGAGCCAGCCCGAATGCTCTTGATTGGAACTTGCTTTGGCTTCACACGCATTCACACGCACAGGGCCTGGTGGGGGGGCCTTCTGTAGAACTGAGGCACACACGCACACCCACTCTCTGACAACAATCTATGGCTTTTTGCATCCCCATGAGGATCTGATCCTGCGCTTCCCTTTTGCCAGGCCGTTTCTGCCTCGAACAGCTGCTGTGGAGTTCTGGTTGTTCTGCAGCCGGAGTTTGGCTCTGAGAAAGAGAGAGAGTGAGTGAGAGAGTTGCTGACTTTGCAGTTGCCTCAGCTGTCACGGGCAAAACCGGAACACCTCAAAAAGGAAAACACGCGATAAGCTATCAGATATTGGAAGGAAATGCAGAGTGTGCCAGCGAGATGAACACAATGACGGATACCATCGCTAAGTATCCAGAAGGAAGATGATGGTGGACGCTTGCAGTGGGATGATTCAGAGTGGTGTGGCACTTGCTGGCCATTTGCGAGGATCAGCTCCCAGGTCAACATAGGGCTGCATTTTCAAGCTAAGCTTAGGGAGAGACCCGCTGCATCATTCGCAGACGCCGCGTAAGCCCCATTTGTCAAGTCTCCGGACACGCAGTTTTGCCGGCCATGAAATCAAGACAAGTTCACTCTCACCATGCGTTTCGCCTAACAACCGGGGCCTTTTGAACAGGCGGTAAACAAGAGTCTTCCGAGCCCTTTCTTCGAGCTGTTGGAAGGGAGGGGATGGAGACCTCTGCACCTGAGGCTGGAAGCTCCAACAGCGCCGGAGCCAGTTTCAGGCCTCCCACTGTTGCCTTTTCCGCGCAGAGAGCTTCCGTTACGCGCTGTGTCAGGTTACCAATGGCAACTGTGGACAGTTCTGCCTTTGACCTTTGGCTTGAAGTTGTGGTTGCTGCGAGTTCCGTGTTTCCAACAAGGTGTCGAGATTGATTCTGTCACTGTAGACGCCATGCGCTATGCTTAGAGCGTTCCAATGCGTTCCAATTCGGTGTAAAGCTTGGTCACAAGCAACTCACGACGGGCCTCCGTGTAGGAGGTAAACACATCCTATTCGAGTTCGCCTGTCGAGCATGCTTGGAGTACCCCGGGCAGATGATGCATCTCAACATGTTGCAGTTGTCAGCGTCCGCAGGCTATGAGGCCCCGCAAAATGCGAGGGCCTTCGCCGAGGAGACTCTGTTGACAGCAGGTGCTTGGCTCAAAGTTGGAATGGGGCTTGAGAACTTCCTCCTTAACGGGCCTCGAGTGCAATTTATGGCTCAAATGCTGCTGTGGAGGCCTTCCTGATAAGTGTGGCGGCTACTGGTGCCAAAAATGTAACTTTACCACTTGCAGCCATCTTCATCTACCAAGCTTTGTGTGTGCGTGTGCTTGTGAGCGCGGTGTCTTTGGTATGTGTGGCGGTTCGTTTTGTTTTTGATTCGTTTGTTGTTTTATTTGTGTCTTTCTCACTCACTCTGTTCTTCTCTTTGTTCTATGTATGTCTCAATTTGCTCGTGTTTGTGTGTGTGTGTCGCCCCGAAACTCTGTCTCCTGCGCATTGCATCTCAAAGCTTTGTTGCTTCTGCTGCAGTTGAAGCCACCTGATCAGGTGCCGAGGGTCTCGTGTACGTTGACAGACGGCCAGAGGGCTCCGCAGAAGCGAGAAGGCCGCAGGGCGGCTGAGCTTGTAGACTTTTTGAGAGCTGCATTCGGCGCTCAAGACGCTCACAGACGCGCCGCATGCAAAAACATCCACACCCGCACCCACAACCACACACCGCACACCGCACACCACACGCACAGACGCGCACACACCACGCGTGCGCACTGACGCATGCACCCACACACACACACACGCACACACGCACACACGCACACACACACACACAGAGACAGACACACACACACACAGAGACAGACACACACACACACAGACACACACACACTTCAACTCCAGATGGAGAGTGCTAATCTTTCGAGTACAACTGATGAGTCTCGAGTACAACTGATGAGTCTCGAGTGGGTGTGGGTTCTGCTCGCGATGCACTCGGCTTCCCTCTAGCAGCGAACACGTTACCCGAAAGAACAAGAAGCACAAACAGCGCCGCAACCAAGGGGGCCAAAAGGACTTTGCATCACACGAAGTGCACAGGTACGTCGAGGTGATCAGCCTCGATATCACAGGACAAGTGCGGCGTTTTCGTTGGATGCCGACCGCACAGGTCCCCAGCATCCCCCTGCGGTAAAAGTGAAAGCCTGAAGTTGGTGACAGGGTATTCTGTCACTCCGCACACACACGCCCCTCAAAGAGGGGCGAGTACCACTTTTTCGGGGGGAGAAAAAACACGCGCCCCAAAACCGGGCGAAGACCCCAACAGAAAACAAACGGAGCAAGGGAGCCCAAAAGAAACAGAAAGGCCCCAGGTTGGGTCACCGCGGGCAAAACCCCAAACAAGAAACAAGAACAACGGGGAAGCCAGGTTTCGGGTCTCCGAGGGCAACAACCCCAAACAGCGCAAAAACGACCTAGACCTTGTAGACGAAAGGGGCCGCGAAGGCAAAGAGGCAGAAGAGGAACAGGCCATCCCTAACCGGGCGAACAGGAAGTACAAGAGATAGCCCAGAGAGGGAAAGAAAAAGAAAGGGAAAGAAAAGAAAGGGACGAAAGAGAGAAAGAAAGAGAGAGAGAGAGACAGACACAGAAAGAGAGAGAGAGAGAGAGAGAGAGACAAAAGCGTATTTAGGGCGTCGCAACCGCCCGGGGGGAAAAAGAAAGGAGCAGGGTGCGTATTTAGGGCGCCGCATCCCGCCCGGGAAGAAGGAACAAGAAGCAGAAGGCAAGGAGACAAAAAGGAGAAAAGAAGGAAGAAGGAAGAAGGAAGAGGAAGAGGGAAGTAGTAGTATGCGTTTTTAGGGCGACGCATCCCGCCCAGACAGGAACAGAGGATGAAGACCAAGGCTCGCGGAGGAAGACGTCGAATCCCACACAGGGGCCAAGAGGACGGACACGAAGTAGCAACGGAAGGGGAAGAAGACGTCAAGCCAAACTACGTGAGGAAGAAGAGGAGTAGGAACAGGAAGACAGACACGAAGACGAAGACGAGGAAAAAGGTGAACAACGCGAGGACAACCAGGCCATCCCTAAGCGGGCGAACAGGAGGGGGACGAACGCGCGGGTCACGAAAGGCAGCAAAAAGAGAACGGGAGGAAGGAGAAGCCATCCCTAAGCGGGCGAAGAACCAGAAGACGGGCACGCGGATGAAGAAGGCGAGAAGAAAGAACGTAGGGTGAGACGTGCTATGATCTGACGGCTGTCTTCCCTTTAGTGAAACCTCGTTCCTGATTAAATCTGAACTTCCGCTGTTCTATGATAAGCACGTTGAGGTCAAATTTTCCGACAGAGCCGGCCCGGGGTCACACAATGGGTACACCCGAGGATTCCCCACGAATGGGGTGTACACACTTAAACTCCAGATGGAGAGTGCTAATCTTTCGAGTACAACTGATGAGTCTCGAGTACAACTGATGAGTCTCGAGTGGGTGTGGGTTCTGCTCGCGATGCACTCGGCTTCCCTCTAGCAGCGAACACGTTACCCGAAAGAACAAGAAGCACAAACAGCGCCGCAACCAAGGGGGCCAAAAGGACTTTGCATCACACGAAATGCACAGGTACGTCGAGGTGATCAGCCTCGATATCACAGGACAAGTGCGGCGTCTTCGTTGGATGCCGACCGCACAGGTCCCCAGCATCCCCCTGCGGTAAAAGTGAAAGCCTGAAGTTGGTGACAGGGTATTCTGTCACTCCGCACACACACACACAGACACACACAGACACACACACAGACACACACACAGACACACACACACACACACATAGACAGACAGACAGACAGACAGAGACAGACAGACAGACAGACAGACAGACAGACAGACAGACAGACAGACAGACGCACGCACGCGCGCGCGCGCACACACACACGCACGCGCGCGCACACCCACACGCACACCCACACACCCGCACACACACACGCCCACCCACCCACCCACCCACCCACCCCCCACGCACGCTTATGCGCCACGCACACACGCACACGCACACGCACACGCACACGCACACGCACACGCACACGCACACGCACACTCGCACACGCACGCACACACACACGCACACGCACACACACGTACACACACGTACACACCCGTACACACCCGTACACACCCGTACACACCCGTACACACCCGTACACACCCGTACACACCCGTACACACCCGTACGCACCCGTACACCCGTACACACCCGTACACACCCATACACACCCGTACACACCCGTACACACCCGCACGCACCCGTACACACCCGTACACACCCGTACACACACACACACACAGACACCCGCACACACACACACACCCACAGACACCCACACAGACACACACACACACACACCCACACACACCCACACACACCCACATACACCCACACACACACACCCACACACACACACCCGCACATGCACCCACACATTCACCCACACACACACACACCCGCACATGAACCCACACATTCACCCACACATACACCCACACCACACATGCACCCACACACTCGCACACACACACACACCCACCCACTCACACCCACCCACCCACCCACCCACCAACACCCACCCACGCCCACTCACACCCACCCACCCACCCACCCACCCACACCCACCCACGCCCACTCACACCCATCCCCACCCACCCACCCACCCACCCACACAGACACACTTGTGGTAATCCCCCCTCTTTGATTTGCGCTTCTGCTCTCCTATGCGTGTGCTCGTGGCTTGTTGGTCTAGTCACAGTCGAGGGTACAGGATCATAAGCCGCAATGGCTAAACGGGAAAACGGGAAAACATGGTGAGACATCGGAGTAATGAAGCTGAATTTGTCAGAGCAAGGTTTGTAGCAAAGGGGCTCCAAACGCAAACAGCGCCAAAAAGTTCAAGTGGGACAGCAAGCTGCGACAACTGCGCCCATGCCTGTCCGTGAAAAGCAGGTACGTTTTCACCCCGGCTCAGGGGCGTCTTCGTTGGCCAGAGTCCCCTGCGAGTCATGCTTCTCCTCTTTGGAGAATGGTGGCTACCCGTTTGCCCCAAATTGGGCATTTAGTGACAGGGTTGGACACACACACACACAAGCACAGGCACACACCCACACCCACACACCCACATACCCACACACCCACACACACACACATGACGCGCGTACGCGCAAGCGCGCACACACACCCACACGACACGCGTACGCGCAAGCGCGCACACACAAACACACACAGAGGCACAAGCACAGGCACAGGCACAAGCACAGGCACGGGACAGGCACATGCACAGGCACATCCACATGCACATGTACACGCACTGCGCATTCTTGACAACGAGCTCGCCAAGCTGGTGCCAGGATACTCCTGGATGGCTTGCAGCAGATCAGGCCATTTCTATACCATGTCTTTGTGGAAGGGCATGCTCGCCCAAGGATGGATTTGCTTGGCGTTGAGCTTCTGTCAGGAGGCGGCGAGTTGGAGTCGAGGATGAAATTGAGGAGGCAAGGCCAACAAAGTTGAACATTGAATCATTGGGATGGCCAGGGCGTTGCAAGAATATGGCAAGGGTGGCCCTTTGCAGGAGGATGCTGGGTTCCTGAACCCTTACAGCGAGAAAGCACAAGTGCTGTTCGACATTCGTAAGTGCAGGACGGGGCTTGAAGCTGCTTTGCCTCTCGATTCAATCTGCTGCAGCTGGTTTGACTGAAGGACCGGTGATACCTCCGATTTGCTTTGCACTGGGGGCTTGTTGGACCTGGTCCGCGGCAGCCTCACCTGTAGCACTGAGGAGGACAGGGCCCTACAGTCAGGCATGAACCTGAAAATCTATTAAAGCACCGTGCTTGCACGGTGCCACCCAGTCAGCGTTGTAGCTACATGGGCAAGAGTTGGATGATGCCACAATATTGCCACGCTGTAGCTGCGTGCTGGCTCGAAGTGTGCCATGGAAGCGCTGCCAATTCCCGTGACTATCATTGCTGGATCATTCTCCGCTGGAAAGACAACACTTTGCAATGAGCTGTTGGGGCCGCTGGCAGCTTCGGGGGCAAGCGTGGCAGTTATTTCACATAGATTTGCAGAAGAGTGCCTTAGCTGGGTTTTGTTGCTTGGAGTTGATATCCTGGTGGCTGGTGGGGCAAATGTGGTATCCAAACTGAAAAGTCTCCACTGGTCACCTGGAACTCCACGCAACAACAGGCGCACTTAAGCTTCGAGGCTAACTTGGAGGATGAGAGAAAGCGCCAAGCTTAACCACACCCTCCCAATCACGCGGGGTTAATATTCTTGGTGACAGTTGCACACGCTCGCACCAAGGTATGCTTGTCAGGCCTTGGCGGTTGATGCCTCGCAATGTGCCTTGTTGGAGGACGGGCCTGTTGCAAGGCAGCTGTATCGTAGCGAACGCGGCACAGTGGCACCTGCTTAGCCTTGTTATCGGGGTTTGCTGGCTGTGTGGGCTGTGCTGAAGCTCGAAGCTTTGTTTGCAGCATCAGGCCGCCACATGTCTGAAGTTGCGTCTTGTTCTGAGTAAATTGGAAAGACGTGACGTGGCACGGCTCTTGAGGAGGTCTATGACTATGGCAGTGGTTGCTTATGCTGCACACCTGGAGGGGAGCTGAACCAGCGACTGAACAACATGATTACCTGGGGCTACTTGAATGCCTTGAGCAGATGGGATTGTGGTGTTGGGTGATTTGTGTCCAATCGGCAGCACGTTGTCATACTGACAAGGTTGCATGTGATGAGTATATACTCCGTAAGAGTTTGACGGCCGCTTCAGAGCAGGAGGGAAGATGTTGGCCTGCTCATCGACTTTTCGCTGCAATGTTGTTTTTTGGCCCCATTGCGTTGTTGGCACTTGCAATTCCTGAGCTGTGGCAAAAGCAATCCAAAGGCGAGCGCTATGACCTTGTATTGATTCGGACTGGCCCTGCTGCTGACCCGCTGATTTTCGCTGACGCCGTTCTACGGAGTCCCTCCTACCGAATTGCTGGACTCGTGACCGTGCTCGACGCTGCCATGAACCTTGGTTGGACGCCAACGGTTTCAACAACAGGAATTGCCATTGTTTTGCAACTTGTTGACGAGAGGGCACATCAAGGAACTGTGGGTTTTGGCAAGTTTGTGCTGTTTTTGTTTGACTGCCCCTGCACAAGGCTGCAGTTTCCGGATCAGATCTCCTCAGCAGCTTGGGAGCAGCTTGTGGCAGCTGACTTGCTGCTGGTGCGTGCCAAGGCCAGCAGCTGCAAAGTCAGTGGGTAGGTCGCGGGCACTTGGTCATTGCTTCTTCCGGCATGTTCAGGAAGATGATGCGCTGGATGACGCCAGGCACCTGCTACAAGCGAAGGATCCGATTCCTCCCCGGGCTGAGTCAAAAGCAGACTTGTTCGCATGGTAGCTGGAGCGAGCTCGTTCAAGCTTTCATTTGCCAGCTTGGCAATGCGTCCACATGTTGTTGCACAAGCCGGGGCTGATTTTGACTGGACAATGCTTTCCCAAGCTTCAGGAGATACATGCACCGATGCAGCTTTGGCGCCAAGCACTTGATCCGGCTGCTGTCAACGCACTGCTGAGCTGCCGGCCCACAAGCCGTGAATACAGATGTGGCTTGCAGGCATTTCGAGGGTTCTTGTCAAAGTGTGAGAGTGCCAGGAACTAGCGAGAGTTGGTGGACTTGCCCGGCTTAGCGACGTGTTTGCACCCACCAAGCGCATGTCCACCACCAAAGTCTGCGGCGGTGTTGCATCTCACGTTAGTTGAGGCAAGGCTTCCAGCTTGGTGCCAAACCTCATGGGCAGTTTGGGCACCATTCACGACACGACCTTCCGCGCAGTGCAGATCGTACAGAATGGAACCGTCCAGCTGCAAGCTTCAGAGCAATGGGCGAGGGGTGTGCTGAACAAGGGCCTCTCAGCTTTGTTTGCCTGGCTGAGTTCTGCATGTCATGTTCAGAGCACGGTGATCGGATTGGGAGATCCAAACCTAAGGATTTTGCGTCCGATTGAAGGCAGTGCTGCCGGTGCACACGTCAGACGGCCAGAGAGTACTTTTGCTGAGCGCCGCACGTGGGCAAGCCATGGAGCAGGTCATTGCCGCTTGAAAAGTACCGAGTTTATGTGTCGTGGTTCTGAGCACTCGCTGCTATCCAGTGGGCAATTAAGCAACAATTGCAACATAATGTTGTGATGCCAATTTTGAGTCGCTTTGTTCTTATCATTGCAGTCTTCGCTTCTGATGCTACGGCTGTTGCCCAAATTATTGCCTTGCTTTGGGCCTTGGCTATCCTTGGCTGGCTGCAGCAGCAGCAGTAAACTGATGGCAGTGGTGGCACTGGTCGCAGCGTGTTGGTCATGTTGCTGTTGGCGCGCGGTTGTCGCAATTTGTGTTCGAAGTGTTTCGCTGTTGTCATTTGAGCGACCGAGCAGTTCTCCTCCAACAAATGGATGTGTATTGATACGGTCACAATATCCGAAACAGTTGAGATTTCGGCGTGAAACTGAGATGGCTCTATTTACGACATCAGAACGAGGTAGTGTGGCAAAAAGCTATGCAACACAACACACAACTAGATCACGTCTTAGGCAACACACCACGAGTCCGTAACGACTAGCTTCCTGAAATGGGCCAGTGCCCTTTTGGCGCACTTCGAATGCTGCACTTATACCACATTGCAATTTCTGAGCTGGAGCTGCCCTTTGGCACTTGGCATGCTCACTGCTGAGAAGTTACGATTTCCGAGCTGGCGCCGCCAAAGCGCGCTTCACACGCTGCTCGCTTGTATTGAGAAGTTGCAATGCTCGAGCTGTTTTCCGAAAAGTTATGTGTTTTAGGCCGGAGCAGTCAAAGAGTGATGGCGTACTACGCTGGCGCTGAACAAGTGGCATTGCGAACTTTAAAACAAAAACAAAATCATCTTTGACTTTGTACGAAGTGCCGAAGACAAGATAATCAGTGACTTGCTCATCTAGATGCTTTTGGGCGACTTAATGGCAGGAGTTGGGTGCCTCTTATGCATGCCATCGCTGTGTGTGTTTGCACGCACGCTGCCAAGGTGCAAGCATCGCCGCCACAGGTTTTCATGGGCGAGTTGCAGAGTCTCATCAGCTCTGGCGACAGCATCGATCCAGCAAAGCCGCTATGTCGAATTTTCCTGCTGCCGCCCAGCATGCACAGAGTTACCCTCCCACTCTGGCCAAAATACATCCCCATGACCCTGAGATGTCCAATGCTTCAATCACTCAAGGTATGAAAGAAGCGCACGACTCAGCCCCCCAGCGCTCCAAACGGATCTTGAGTTAGCTAAACCCGTTGTCACCCCAACTTAATCGCTCAAGTTTGACCCACCTCGTTCGTGATATTGGTGTGCAAAATGCAGGTGTTTCCAAGTTGATGGCATTGCCTGAGCTTAATTGGTCATCGATTCGCAAGCCGGGTTGCTGCAGGGCTTATAAGTTGGATAGCTCATTTACTTAGAGCCAAGGGGCACTCGCATGGAAATGCGCAAGCAACAGATATGCCATGGAGTTACAGGCAAGCGCCCAGGTTGGGCCCACCGCTCGTCAAGGGCCTCGACCTTGAGGAGTTGTTGGCTGCAATGCCGTCATCAAGTGATTTGACTCAAGACTTTTCATGCCTTGTACAGCCCTAAGCGCTCTCCCAGCCAACCCGCAGCCAGACCAGCATGGCTTTATGTTTGCTACGGCACAGTCCTTGTTGCTGGCTATTAGCTATGCTGGGAATCCGGTTGTTGAGGTCATTGCCAGGTCTTTGCCTGAAAGGCAAGAGACTATGCAAATGTGAGCTCAAAGTGGAGGTGCTCGTAGCTTTTGCTGACCAGTGGTGTAGCATCTCAGGCCAGCTCTTCGGAGAGGTTGACTTTGCGGAAAGAAAAGCTTCTTTGTGAGCACACTGCTTGTGCACAGATTGTGTTTTGATATGCCACTTGAATGCATGGCCTTCCACCAGTTCTTTGTGACCAATCGCGGTTTCGCAATGCGTTGTTCCTTTTGAGTGCCGTGCAAAGTTGCCCTCGTCTCTGCGATTTGACAAGCGGTTTTTCTGCCTGTCAAGGAGTTTGTGGAGATCTACAATTTGGCTCTGACCCTCACAGTGGAGAACGATCATGCCACCGTGGTGCGGGTCATTCGCTCGGATTCACTCCGATTAACTGCAAGCTTAGCTGAGTAGTGACCAGGTGCAAGACAGTGCTATAGCACGCTTCCAATCATTTTCAGGCCACGATCCCTGCTGACCATTTCGACACAAATTGTGGTCCATCATGGCAGCCCTTGGCCATTCCAGTGGTTTTTCGTGCTTTGCTCAGAGTCCGGCCGGCAGCCTTTTGTATCTGTTGAGGTGAAGAACGGATTTCACACCCCTGCCGCCGGAGGATACTGCGATGTAAAGCCTTTACCTCAGCTTGTTAGAAGAGGCATGGCACTTGGATAACTCTGGACTGAGCAAATTCGCCTGTGACAAAGAAGAGCTTGCCCTTGATGAAGGCTGACTCTGGGGTTTCGCAAGTTCGGTGGGTGATTCTCAGTGAGGCAGGCGCTTGTCGCAGCTCAAGGGGCATTCTCCAGGCTGTTCCTCCTCATTGCGCACGACAAGCCTGAAGATGGTGCACCTGTGGGCCCGAAGGCATGCACCGCTTCCAAACGGATGGCGTCGTTTGCAGAGATGTCTATCGGAGACCGGAGAAAAGCCAAAGCGTTGCTGCCTTGAATGACGCAGGTATGCCATATCTGCGAGCTGCAAGTGCATTTGAAGCAATTCCTTGCCTGCAAGAAGTACACCCACTTACCTTACGTGCCTTGGCTGCAAAGCGGAGAGATAATATTCACCTCAAACAACTTGAGCAGTGACTTTGTGCGGGAAGCAACAAGCTTTTTCGACGTTGGATGGTTGTACGAGGTGCTTGTGGGACATGCAATGGGCAGTGTTATGATTGGATGGAGTTGCTGCCTTGCGCCACAGGTAATTGATCGGGGTGACTTCGACCAGACTTGATAGTAGTACATTTGGACCTGGCGGGTACGCGAAGCGGCCTTCCGATCCAAAGATCTTTCAATTAATCCAAGGACATGCGTGTGCCTTGACTGCGCACTCCACGTGGTTTAACCTGCGCAGCTGATGTTTTTTTTTTCCCCCCTTTCAGATCCCAGTGGTTAGCGCAGGAAAGTGCAATGTTTGATTTGGCTGGGATGCAGGTCAAATTGCAACCTCCTTGGAGCCCATTAATTGGAACCAGCTTGGAAAACCCAAGCCAGAAAGCCGAAAAAATGCCCCGGCACAAGCTTTGCTTAGTATGCTACGCGTTGATTCTTTGCGATTCATTATGCGTGCTGGTAGGCATCACCTTTGTGCCGACGGCACTTACAAAGTTCTCAGAGTTTGCAAGGGCTGTCTCACTCAGTTTGCACGTAGACCGTGAATGGGGACCACACCCAACGGTTACAGCATCCCACTTTCAGCGAGCGGGAGGCATTTGAAAAGTACTGGCCGTGCGCTCATCCTATGTTCATCCCTTGTGCTTCGTGGTAGGCTTTGCGGTCGTCGCGAACCCATGTGCTTAGTGTGTGCAGTTCGTCCAGCCAAGCAAGGGGGTCGATGCTGGCATTGACATGCGGTCACCTGTTGCAGCAGACCTTGCCTTGGGACTTCTGGCGTGCCGCACCACAAGGCTAACCCCGCGGCCTCGATCTCGGGCGCAGCCTTGGCCGCCTTGGGCAATCACAGGGTTGGGTCTTGGCTACGGGATCGCTCGCAGAGCTCACGCAGGCGTCAAAGCCAAGAACTCGAGGAGCATGAGCTCAAGGAGAATGTTCATTGGCCCCAGGCGCCCTGAGCAGGATGATCGAGTCATTGTTCCATCCGAAGACTCGACACAGGAGCCGTTGCCGGCTGAAGTTTACAACCGTGTAGCAGACTTTGACAATGGGCCTTTTGCGAATCCGCAAGCCCTGCAAGATGAGGCATTCTATTTGCCTTCACTGCACTGCAGGCCTGAGGACAGCTCGGTGTTTGATCGACTAATGTCCGAGTTGGAGTTTAAAGATTGCTGGCTTGAGACCGGCATGAAATTTTCGCGGCAGATTTGCATTGGCGACGAGCGAACGTTGGCAAAGGCACCAACGTACCGTGCCATTGTAGAGCGCATATCCCAAGTATTTGGAGTTCGAGTCGTTAGGACGCTTGCAAACCTGTATCGGGATGGGAGCGACTGGTGCAATTTACATTCAGATCAGTACCATCAGGGCGGCTACCCCATTGACCTGACAGTGGGCTCAACTTTTGGAGATCCTCGTCGGTTGGTATGGGTGGAGAAGAGAAATCCCAGACACAAAATTGAGCTCCCTCAGAACAATGGCGATGTGTTTGCTTTTTCTGATCGGATCAACACCACGTGGAGGCACATGATCCCTCAAGAGGGGCCTCATTGTGGTCCTCGGATCTCAGTGATTGTGTGGTGTGATAGGCAAAAGGACGACAACTGGATGGGATCTTTGGGAAGCTTTCCGCACATGCTGCAGCACAATCCTGCGCCAAAGGGCAAGGATTTCGAGGCCCAGCCTGGCCGGCACAGCCAAGCCAGACGCGGGCGCCGGCTTTCTGATGAGCTGGAGGAGGCTTTAGAAAACACACACAAAGCCTTTACACTGCAGGGGGCACAGCAGGTCTTTGCCATTCTTCGCGGCATCAAGCTCATCGAAAATCGAACTTGGGCCATACCGAAGGGTTGGTATGCAATTCATGCTGGAGCACAGATGATCAATGAGGAGCGTGCTCAACGCACCTTGCAGGCTTGGCCAGATGCGCCTCCAGAAGAAGAGCTGCCACATCGAGCGATTGCGGGGCTGATCTACGTCCAAGAGCACAGGTCGCCGCAGCAGTGCAAAGACGGCTATATCTGGGCCCGTGGGCCTGTGTGCAATGTCATCTCTCGAGCTATCGAGCTAGCCCGCCCGGTACGCTGTCGCGGTGACCGTGGGCTTTGGCAGCTGGGGCCCTTAAAGGACCGCATCCGAAAGGAGCTGGCAAGGGGCGACACGCGCATCAGACATTTTGATTTGACACCTGCCCTTGGGAATGCATATCTGCGACACACTTAGAGACTTAGAGCCAAGAGCCGCCCCTTTGAGCTTTGTGCTTGGCAAGAGGGCGTTCTCTACTCACAGCGAAGGATAGAGAAAAGGAAGCGACCTGCCAAGTCTGCATCCCGTATTCCATTTATCTTTGAATACTTGGCATGCTGCCAAAGGGGCGCCGTAAAGAAAATCGAGACTGGAGGATGATTGGCTGCCTCAAAATACGTTTTGTCAGATGATCTGGTGCTAAGGTCGAGCGCTGCCCAAGCTTCAAGAAGTATGGCGTCCAGGCACGACTTTGGCCACCCCGCAGCGGGCCCGTGGCCCCGCATCAGGTTCGTGATGTGGTGTTTCTGATTGAGAAGAAGAGCGAAGGCCAGAGTTATGCCATGTGACAGCGAAGCAAACAAGCAGGGGTTGGGGAAGGGGCAATGGGGCACGAGTTTCGGGAGGTGCCAGCGCCAAAGTGAATCTCATAGTCGGGGCATTGGAGTCAGGAATTGGGCTCAGAGTTTGGCCAGGCGGATCCAGCCGCACTTCTGTCAACAACTCAGCCTTGCGATGGGAACAGGGAAGGAGGGATTTTGGCTATCAAGGTCATCATGCTCGCCGCGGGCAGCTGCCTTACAGATTGATGGCCTGCAACAATTCTTAGATGCATGAGTGCCATCCACCAGCAACTGGTGAATGGGGCTTACTTACCCACACGGCCACAAAGTTGGGAACGGATATTCTGCGGCGAACTGATCAATCCACCACGCTTTCTGAGCCGTGACCTAGGTGCGGCTGCACTGCTTTCAGGCTTGGCTGCGCCAGCCTTAAAGCCAACGACGCGGCCAAGTGCCAAGGCTCAGACACGTCCCATTTCTTGTTGTGGATTGTTAATTTCGAGCCTATCTGAGATTGCCAGTCACAGTTCGCTAAGTCCACCCAATCCACAAATCATTAAATAATACTCGGACCCTTCCTCCCGGCTCTGTTCCTTTTGCAAGGCTGAGGCCAATTCCGCCGCTGCATGCTCCGTTCATCAATGTCAAGCATAGGGTTGCTGAGCCACAATATTGGACAGGCCCGGATTTGCCACTGCTAAGGTGAAGTAGGATGAGCAACATGCACTCTGCCAAGCACTATGGAAACCGTGCACAAGAATGCAGTGATTACCAATAATGTCAGAGTTTGCATTTGATTCATGTAGTCTGCGGCCTGATGCGGCCACATGGCGCTTTCTCATGGCCTTCGCGGGGAAGAATGGGAAGCCGTTCTGGCGGCGGCGCAGCGCCAAGTTGCAGAGCTGCAGCTGCAGCGCCTCGCAGAAAGCTTTGCTTAGCCCGGCTCTTCCGCATGTCGCAGCGGCTTTGTAGTTAAGACTCTAAGATGAGAGCTGCTGATGGACTAGTTGCCAGCCAGAACGTATGGGATATGGGATGCTGCCCTCGCACATCTCAACATGCTGATGGAAGCAAGGCACTAGATTGGTCAGCATGGCTTGCCAGCTGAACTGGGCTGAGCACTGAGCATTTGCCATTGCACAGGCTGATGGTAAAGGAAGTCGTGCACTCGCAGATCCTCAATGCGATGGTGAAGCTTTCCAGCTCCTTGGCGAAGCTTTTGTCGCGCAGCAAGTATTGCAACTTTTGCCACTGAGGTTTTCAGCATTTCGGCGGAAATGAGCCACCGCCCACAACAGTCTCACATAATTTGTGCATATCCAGGGAGGCGCGGGCCCTGACAAGTTCAAATTGACGTGGCCTTATGTAAAAGGTGAACATTGAAATCTGCGGCACCTGCAAGGTTCAGACCGACGAAGGCGGCTGCAACCAGACCGGAGTCTGGATTGCAAGGTTGGAACACGTTAAGGAACTGTTGCTGCTACCGGTTTCGATTTCGTTTGTTGTTCTCGGGGGTCGAGGCTTTCATTTCAAAGCCTTGATCAACTCCGAGGACCCCTTCCAGAGGATGATGCCGCCAGCTTCGACCACGAGCTGCCCATGCACGGCGAGTCAGAGGTACTTTGCGATGAGGCGGCTTGTGCAGAAGGTAGGTCAGTCCTGGTGAATGCTCTGGCGGCTGTTGAGCATCTGCATGGATTGCTGGCTTGCCACACTTTCAACATGCTTGGCGTTCAAAGTCAGCTTATCGGCTTATATCTAGTGGGGAGGTCTTCACCCCATCCTCAATTCCAGGGCGATTGCACAAGCTCAGCAAGTGCAAGCTCTGGAAGTTCGCCCTCAACATACTGACTGTGTGTATGTTCTGGTGTTGTTGGTCGCATCGAGCATGCCTGCGCGTTCGAACCTCGTGTGTTCGTATGTGTGGGTGCGTTGCGTCGCTTGGCGTTGCGTTGGGTTGAGTGTGTAGGTGTGTTGTGTGTGTGTGTGTGTGTGTTGTGTGTTGTGTGTTGTGTGTTGTGTGTTGTGTGTTGTGTGTTGTGTGTTGTGTGTGTGTGTGTGTGTGTGTGTGTGTGTGTGTGTGTGTGTGTGTGTGTGTGTGTGTGTGTGTGTGTGTGTGTGTGTGTGTGTGTGTGTGTGTGTGTGTGTGTGTGTGTGTGTGTGTGTGTGTGTGTGTGTGTGTGTGTGTGTGTGTGTGTGTGTGTGTGTGTGTGTGTGTGTGTGTGTGTGTGTGTGTGTGTGTGTGTGTGTGTGTGTGTGTGTGTGCGTGCGCGCGCGCGCGTGTGCGCGCGCGCGCGTGTGCGCGCGCGCGCGTGCGTGCGTGCGTGCGTGCGTGCGTGCGTGCGTGCGTGCGTGGGTGGGTGCGTGCGTGCGTGGGTGGGTGGGTGGGTGGGTGGGTGGGTGGGTGTGTGTGTGTGTGTGGGTGGGTGGGTGGTTTTGTGTGTGTGTGTGTGTTTGGTTTTGTGTGGGTGCCTGCCGCGCGTGGGTGCACGTGCACGTTTTTGTACATGCAAGCGCTTAAGTGTGTGTGTGTGTGTGTGTTCGTGCATGTTTGGGACAGGTGTGCTGGTGCGTATATTGTTTGCTTGCCGACTTGTTTTGTTGTTTGATTGATCGAGTTGTTGTGTGTTTTCTTGTTTGTTTGTGTGTTTGTTTGTTTGTTTGTTGATTGATTGATTGATTGATTGATTGATTGATTGATTGATTGATTGATTGATTGATTGATTGATTGATTGATTGATTTGATATTTGATTCATATGTTTTCTTGCTGCTTGTTTGCTTGCTTGTTCGTTTGTTTGTTTGTTTGATTGCTTTGGTTGGTTTTGTTTGTCTTGTTTGCTTGTTTGCAAATTCGCCTGCCTGCCTGACTGCCTGCTTGCTTGCCTGTGTGCTTGCCTGCCTGCTTGCTTGCTTGCTTTCCTTGTATTTGGTTTGTTGGCTTGCTTGTTTCTGGAACACGCGCCTCGGAGGTAATTACCCGATTCACTTATACATCCACACCAACAATTGCATCGGAAAGAACCAGCCCCTTTCCTGCTGGGCCAGCACAAGCATGTAGGATGTGGTGAACCTTCTCCGGGACCTGCAGAAGGACATGATTAGCACTGGCATGGGCCAAGCTGTGGGCATGCTTGGCATCAAGTCTTCCAGTGGTCAACAGAATTGAATTCGACCCTCCCTTCAACTGAGCCAAGCCGCTGCTCTCCCAAATCTCAACCTTAAACAGCTCGGCCTCAGTGCCGCACTAGATGTGCTTTCAACTTCCAACATTTTCTACGGACCTGCCAGGACTTACCCATGTCCAGGACGCCAAGCGAGAATGCAGCGACAACTGGCAGTTGCCCGCTCTAATTCAGCAAACTCTAGGGCCAGAGTGTCATCATACCAGATCGGATCGCCAGTAACTTAGCCACTCATGCTGATTCATAGTCAACCCCACGGTCTTCTGCTGCAGCTGCCGCATGAAACAATGAAGCCACTGCATGGCATTCTTCATGTCATGAACGGGCCAGGTTCCTGACAAGCTGAGGCAGGTTGCCCATTGACCCGTGCCGCTTGGAAGAGCTTGTTGCTGCGCGGCTCAGCCAATGGGCGCCATGGCATACGAAAGAACGGGAGGGGCGATGCTTTGCATCGTGAAGCGCCAGATGCCTTCCCAGGCGGCATCAGGCACTGATTTTTGAGCTATGGGATATGGGTGATATGGGCAGTGTGGTGTAGGTGAAGAGAGACTTCTTGAGACCCCTTGACATTTGAGACCCTCTGCAAGGTCTACTGCAGCGAAGGCTTCGCCGAGCCACTGCCCGACGTGCCTGGGGTGTCTCTCACCGCTGGCTGTGTCAGCGAAGAGCTCCAAACAGGCAGCATCAAGATGGCCATGGTCACCGCCGAGTTTCCGGGAGAGCACCGCACGCTTTTTGTTGCCTTCAAAGGCGCTCCATCCATCCTTTCAAACTCAATAATACTTGTTGACTAGAGATATGTCGCAATAGTGAGTGACACAAGAGACGGGTTTGCTGGTACTGCGCTGGTGAAGGCACATCCTACTTAATGGACGTGGTCAACTGGAACTTGGAGCATGACTATGCAGTCATTGGAGATGGCAACCACTTCATGCACAAAGGGGCTGCAGGAGTTATGCGCAACCTTGTCTTCATGAAGGTGCAGCCGGAGTCAGACTTTGCAAAGCGGCTAGAGCAAGCCCACCAGGATGGTGTCCGCAACATTGTACTCACCGGACACTCACTTGGTGGAATGTATGCGTTGAGTGGTCTGTACTTTGCCCATCAAGAGCTGCAGACTTTGCTGCCCGAGCCTTGTCTGCATGTGTCAGCGCCAAGCTTTGCCCATTGGGCTGAGTGACCCCGACTTCGAGATTGGCTTAGCTCGGCTCTCGGCCGCCTAAGGCAAAAGATGGATAAACCCCCCTCCCAAGCGACAATGACATTGCCGGGGGTGCGCGGACTTGTTGAAGTCGCTGCTGCTTCATATCAGTGTTTGTGTACCACTCTCATTGGAAAAGTCGCTGCCGCTTGCGTTGCCGTTGGGATTCGGAGTTTGGCATTTCCTACGGCGTTGAAATTAAGTGCAGGGTACTTCAGTTTTATGTGGATGTTGTGTGCCGTGGGGGTTTGCAAAGCACTGCTCCTTGTGCTAGTTGTGGTGTTCGCATGTCTCACCAGCACGTGCGGGGGTCTCGTCCGTATTTTCATGAAAGCCCCTTTCCGATCCCTTTCCAATGTTGCAACGCTTGTTTTTGCTTTGCTGGGACTTGCGTTCCACGGTGGATGGCGCTTCAGCCAGCTTGTTTGCAGCCTACTTGTTATTAGGTGGCCAGATATTGGCTTCTGGTGCCAGGCAAGTGCTGGGCCAGCTTTTCCAAGCCAAGGGTAAACAGGACAACCAAGAAATAAAGCTGCGTTCCACGCGCCCTTTGCGCAGTTCGGGCCATTTGGTGCCAAGTTGGTGCAACATTGTTGCATACTGCGTTCCATGGGGTTCCTTACCAAGGCCGAGAAAGCTATGTGTTTTGAAGTGGCGGTGACAACTCAACTGGATTGTGGGTAACTTTGGGAGGTGAGTTTTTGACTTGGTGGATGAGCTGCGTTCCATGCGGGAAACCTCGCCACACGTAAGTGGCCGTGACTTTGACGGGTGTGTGTAGTCCTTGTAGAGAGGGTTGTAACCACGACAAAGAACATCGTTACACCGACAAGTTTCAGTGAAGACTATCCCGACAAGGCTTCTACTACTACAATTACTATTATTACTCCTATTACTACTACTACTACTACTATTACTACTTCTCATTCCTTTCTATTGATCTTCTTATTCCTTCTTATTCCTTTCTATTGTCCTTCTTTTTCCATCTTATTCTTTTCTATTGTCCTTCTTATTCTTGTTTATTCCGTTTATTGAC